GGAAGATAAAGATGTTGGGTAAATCCAGCATGGCTGGATTATGCTATTGGACCTCAGTATTTCAGTGCTATAGAGCAGACATCTGCTTCATGCTCCTGGCTGATAGCAACCACCGGCAGCTTTATCACTAGTGCAGTTTCCAGACAAATATTTTTCAGGTGCAAACGGGGTCTTTCAAAGCCTTGCACGTGCTTGTACAACATGCACAAAGAAGCTGTTTCTGCAGGATGTGCGCTGGAGTCAGGCTGGACCGAAGGGAAAGGGGCTCTCCTAAGAAGAGTTGTTAGCAAGCTGCAGGATAATCAATAGACTCGATGAAGATGCAGTGGGGTTTTGTAGCCTAGAGTGTATGGTTTTGTCCTAAATAGGAATAATTGATAGTTCATTAGCTAGCGTGGTGGAATAGAGTATAGCAGATATTGTGTGGGTATTTGCTCCTGCAGGCAAACCACTTTGTCTATGAACCCAAGCTAGATCCACATCAAGGATCCACCATCCACCACCAGGGTGAAAGGAGGAGGTGATGCTGACTCAGGTGGTGGTGATTCTTGCCCCTCCATGGAACCACATCATGCTTTGCTAACGTGCTGTGGAGAATACAATGTGGAATCAGCTGAGCTTGGGGTTGGACATGTTGGTGGCAGAAGAGCTTCTGCCTAAGAGCTCATCTCATCTCCCCTCTGGCAGGTTAAAGCCAGTCCCCTTGGCCTGTCCCTACAGGCCCTTGTCCCAAGCCCCTCTCCAGGTTTCCTGCAGCCCCTTAAGGCACTGGAGCTGCTCTAAGGTCTCCCCTTCAGGAGCCTTCTCTTCTCCAGGCTGCCCCAGCCCAGCACTCTCAACCTGGCTCCAGAGCAGAGCTGCTCCAGCCCTCACAGCACCCCCCTGGCCTCCTCTGGCCTCACTCCAATGGCTCCACATCCTTTTCATGTACGGTGAGACCTTGGCCAGGATGAAACTTTGCTTATGTGACCTTCATTTAAAGCTCATTGCTCTCTGGTCTGTGGCAGTTTAAGTCCCGTGCTCTCTGACTCATGGAGGCAAAAGCTCCCTTTGACCCATCAAAACTCCCTGGATCACTCTCTTCTTTGATGACTTATGGTCAGGTCCTGCACCACCCTGGCAGGATGCAGCTCTTGGTGGTGGCATCATTTGGCCACCCTCAGCTGTAGCAGTTTTGCCAAGCAAAGCCACCTTTCCAAGTGTTCAGTGCAGTTACTGTATTTTCACATGAGTATCAATGGGATCTTGTCTGTTAAAATCCCATCTATTTGAGCATACAATTTTCCTGGAGTCAGAATCTATTAGTGAAATCTCAGCCCGGGTGACAAGATAACAGAATCCTCAAATTAAATAGGGTTGCCACAATTACAGCTTCCCCCCTTTCTTTCCCAGCATTAACACCGTAAACGCTGATGTCAAGATAAGATCTGAATTCCATCCTGACAAGGCAAATGTTATCAGAGATCAGTTAATTACACACTGGATTTCAACAGAGGCAAATAACCCCCCTGTGGGTTAGTGTGGAAACTGCTGTCTTGCCACCAGCTTCTCCCTGGGTCACCAGGCACACTGCCCTCATCCATCCCTCTTTTTTTCCACCATGCTAAGGAAATGGGATCCGCATTTTCCACCTGGTTTTAGACCTTGCCCCAGGGGTGCCCTAGAGCCCATTCCTGAACGGAAGAGGTGGAGGATGTTTCAAGTGTTACCTGCAGGAAAGGATTTGCAGCAAAAGAGAAAACCTGGTTTAGCTAGAAAGGAGCCCCCACCACTTTGCAAAGAGCTGGAGGGAGAAGCAGGAGCTTCTGATAGCAAAAAGGCTTTTTGCGAGAGCTGGGTAATGATGCTCCATGGAGGTCTTGCTCCAAGGTGGACTCTCCCCCACTGCCTTTGCTCACTGTCTCAACCAGTGAGCTCTTGGAGGCTGTAAGACCTGAAGCAAGAAACAAGGGCCCAAACCATGGAAAATCAGAGGTTGTAGGCACCTCTCTTTGCTGCATTAGGAATCATGCTCAGCCCTGCATGGTAACGATTGAATCACTTCTTTTGTGCTTAAAACCCACAGACGGTGGCATGAATGCAGCCCATCATGGGGATTGCCCCAGTTAAGGATATGTCCCAGATCATCTTGTCTTGCTGGAGAACACCTTTGTCGAATCTGCCCTTCTCACCAAAGCCATGCCTGTCTCTACCAGCTCTGTCTTCTTCCCCTGTTTTGTTTCTTTCTGTCCTGCAAACATATGCAGGGTGTTCCTGGGAATGGCAGGGTTTACTCATCCGCTGATAACTCCAATCTAGTCTAACAAAGAAGCAAATGCACAATGACATCTCTTGCACAAAGAGCTGTCATAAAGTGCGGCTGGCAATCCAAGAGGTATAAATGCTCTTTCGATTAAGTGCCTCATTGAGGTAAGTTGATGATGCTCCATTAGGCTGAAGTGATAGACTTCTAGTTCTCCACACAATGGGTGGGGAGAGGGATTCGGTGCTGGAGCAGGCAGGGCTGTGCTCTTGCTTTCTCTGCTCTCCTGCAGTCCTCTTCATTCCAGGCTGCTACTTATTGCAGCTTCTCCACTTCTGCACAGGGGAAAGCTCTTTATGCCTCATCACCTTGCATTGGGCTCAGGGATGGACACCCAGCACCCTGGCTGGGCTCCCTGCAGGCAGAAACACATTGGGCAAACCCCACCATGGGTTGTAGCGTGGTATTAGCTCAGCGACGTGATGGGAATGGCAGGGACACAGCACTCGGGCTTCTTTGCCCGAAGAGAAGCTCCTTTCTCCCTTTTTCCCTCCATCTCCCATGCCTTTTCTTGCAGGCTTTCTGCAGGACACTGGTCTTGATGCAGCTTTTGGAGTGCCAGAGAATTGCATCAACTCTGCTCTGTATTTTTACAGTGCAATAAAAAGCTCTACACCCCCTCCAGGTACAATAAATGATACCAACATTTTGACCTTGTTGCTGCAGCTTTTATTTAAATCAGGAGAAAAAACTGAGAAAGCCAAAGGACACGGATAATTTATGGATCCAGAATGCAGTCAGGGCCCTGGCAGTGGCAACAGGGATCACTTAGGAGCAGTCCCAAGCTTCCCACGTGAGGCGTGGAATCAGTGTCACTGCAACCAGTGTCCCTGCGGTTAAGCTTTGCCCAAGGAGGTCCTCCAGCTCTGCACTAGAATTACCTTAAGTACAATCAAGCCCAGCCCAAGTCAAGCAAGAAATTAAGATTCTCATTATTTAAACGGGAGCCAACTGCATGAGAGTGGAAAACGGTGGGACCCCACTATTAATTACTTCAGTTTTACTTGCGATTGGTGACAGTTCCTGTTGTGCCTGCTGGGGCACGGGAGGAGCTCCATCCATCACAGACCTGTTAGCGGTGCGCACTGGGAGAGGCACCGCTGCTGCCTGATTTCTCTTTTCCATTCCACACACAGAGCGCTCCCCGTCCCTTATTAAACAGAGGGAAATTGAAGAACAAATTGGAATATGTAAAATGCTCGTTACTTGCATTTTCCACTTGGCTGGTGTTTCCCAATAGGCTGTTTGTGGGGTGGCCGTTATTGTTATTCACCAAGATAGCTACTATTAGTTTTGTTACTCCCTTATTGAACACAAAGGTACCAACTTTCCCTCTTACCTTGATGAAACAGGATGCAATTGCTTTCCTGGTGAACAGCTCCCAAGCCAGTGCCATATTGGCTTGACCAGTGCGACAGCTTCTTGGTGAGCTTGGCGAGGGATACATGTGGAACCATCACTTCTGCTTTAGAATGATCTATTTTACACCGAGGCATTAGACACAGCCATAAAGAAACCCAGCACTTAATTGCAGAGAAAAACCCAGGGATGGGAATACAAAATCAAGCTCAGGTTTTATTTGCTTGCAGAAAGCAGAAGAGATGGGTCACTGTCAGTGATTGCCTGTGGAGTAACGAAGATCCATTCCCTGAGAAGCCTGCCCAGAATTTACACCAAGCCCTCTAAGTACGTACTCAAACAGGACTTCCATCACGTCAAACTTGTCAAAAGCGGGTAATGCAGATGAAACACTTTAAAAGAATCTCATTTTCAGGACAAGCTGATCACTCTTTCCTTGAAATTAAAGCCCTTGTAGAAGATCTTAATTTAAGCAGTCAAAGATTAAGCTGCCCAGCATGATTGCCTGCTTTTGCTGCTGAATTTACTGGCATTTAGCAAGCAGCATAAGGCTGCTAATGGCGTGTCACCGTGCTTCTGAGAGCCAGTGGGCTGGAAAATATCAATTGGAGGACAGAAAGCAGACCACCTCCTGCAAAAAACAGAGGCATGTCCAGCTTTGCCGAGGCCAAGAGTGGTGCTGTTGTTGTTTCATGGTCTGGATGCTGACACTGATGAGGAAGAAATCAGTTGGGAAACAATCATTATACAACTAGAGGAAATAAGGCTTGAAGATGTTCCCCCTTGAAGAGGGGTCATCTGCTGTCAGGGTGGACTTAATGCCCCTATGAATTGATCTTCACCTCTAGAGAAGGACCTTGGTCCTTAGAGGTAGCAGAGTCCCTGCATGACCTTGGCATAGCCTAACAGCTCTTGGTCCTGCTCCCTGGCATTTCATGCGCCCAGCCTAGAAGGCAAATTGAGGATGCTGGCTCCTAAACAGCTGTTTGGGGGAACCTGAGCGATGGCCCCGCTGGAGGAGGGCTGGTTTGCTTTCAGAAGGGTTTAATACAAGTACAGACTGAGAGTGGGGGGAGAAGGTGTCAAAGGGGCAAACAGAGGGATAAAATGAGGAATCAGATGAAGAAACCCAGTGAACAAAACCTATTTCCTTGAGGTATTTGGGTTCCCAGTCAGCTCCAGTATCAGCGAGCAGCAGGGAGCCTTCCTTATATATTATTTATTTCGGCTTAAAAAGAACCGTTCCCTTGTTTGACAGCTTCTGCTGGGATTTTTGTGCCATTTTCTTTTCTTTCCTTGTATTTTTATTACCTTTTTTTCTGTCTTATCTTAACAGGGCCACTCGGCCTCCATTTGCTTTTATAGACATGACTTCAAGGCATGACCTCAGCGGTAGCACTTGTCAGTTGGGAGCTCAGATGGCCTCGGGCTGGAAGCAGGCTCTGCCTTGCTCCTGCTTCCCCTCCTTGCCCCAGCTCTGATCTGCCCAGTGCTTTGTATCATAGCCTCGACGTCGAGGGATACTTTGTGCTGCTGATTGGTAAGAGGTAGAGTTGAGCATGTTGCTTGCTGTCCCTGGAGGATAACTTTTCATTATTGATGTGGAAAGTGGGGAATAAAAGAGGCTATTACACTTTTTATCTTCAGGGAACATTTTTCCTTGTACTCTCCATCCCCTCCCTTCAGATATGAAAGCACTTCAATTCAGAGAATCATTCGGAGTACAATGAAGTCAGTTCTGAGAGCAGCAGGCACATTTATTTACAGTGCAGGTGACTTGTAACATGTCTCTACCATGTATGCTTTTATTATTCCCTGACAATCCCTGAGACAGGATGTCTTGTTCCTGGAGTGCCACAGCTGTGCTGCTTTTTACAGTCATTAAACCTGGCTTTGAAATCATAAGAAAAAATCCAGTTCCTCCCGTTCAAATAGGCCTGAAGGTACGGCGCATAAAGGAAGTGAAACAGCGTTCCTTGGACTGAACCACAAGCTAGAGGAAGATCAAAGGACAGTGGGTGAAGAAAACGTCCCCTTTAAGGGTATCAGAAGTGGTTTCTGCTTGGTGCCACGCGAGGAGAGAGCATCATCCCACACTCTGCAGATGGGAAAGCCCATGGACATCTGCGCACCGCTGGCATGCAGCGGTGCTCGTGTTTGCCAGCTAGCCAGCCAAGTGGAAAATGGGTATTTGTAGGTACAAGCCCTTTGATTTTCCACTAGGAAAAGAACACGGGCAGGCAGAGATGGGAACGTAAATCAGAGCTCACTGATACGGATCCAAGAAAGCTTCCGGATCAATATTCAAACGAGTGAGCTAGTAAAAGAAAACCACACTCCCTCTCTATCCATCAGCTCTGCACGTGGCTGCTTATCTCATCTATCTGCTACCTCATCTATCTGCTACCTCATCTCTCTGCTATCTCCTCCCAGGCTTCTCTTTCCAAATCTGCAGCACCATCTAACCCTCAGATAATTTTTCTGTGTTCCAGTCTCACTTCTACAAGGAAAGAATCAGGGCATTTGGCACCCGATAGCGAGACCTCCTTTCACTATTTACTCATGTACAGGAGGCGTGGGAATGAAATGAGGATAAGAGATGCTGACACCGTGTTTCATCCTGCACAGGCAGCACTGCTGCTGGTGGAGTTGATTGCAATCCACTGGGAAAGACTTGGTAGCTCCAGGTAAGCAACTGCTGTCATTTTGCTCTTTGATTTTAGCATTGCTGAAGTCAGAGGAAGAAACATTTGGATGCTATTGAGAGGGTCAATACATTGTTAAATGTCAGCGTTGGTTGGAACAACTAAGCCTTTTGGGTATGCCCACCTTTGGTGTCATAGCTGCTGTCCCTTCCCTACGGTGGGGTGTTGCTGCCTGTAGTGATACAACAACAGAAGGAAATGCTTGAAAAGTGACTCAAAAAAGGGAGGGTTACATGAACCTAGCAGGCAGCTCTCATTTTACACAGTTTGCCTCTGCCCACTGGGCCAGGGATTTGTAGCTGAAATGCCATCTGTACTTTGTAGGCTCTTATCTCTCTGGTGTGCTGAGATAGCACCTGATTACCATAGTATCGGAGCATCTAGCTCTCTGTGATGTATTCATCCTCATAGCAAGCCTGGGGATAGGTAAGTGCTATTATCTTCCTTGTACAGATGGGGAATGCTTCACTGCGGCCCAGACCTCCACTTCGGGGTGCAGTGATACAGAGGGCAATAGTTATTTACGAAAAATGGAGTAGTTTGGAGTGGTATGGGCATGAAATTCATCTCGCTGGGTCAGAAGTCCACCCTAGAGCTGTCTCCATAGGAGGTAGCTCTCAGTGGGGAGGTTGAGATGAGCTCTTAGGCAGAAGTTCTTCACTATGAGGGTGCTGAGGCGCTGGCACAGGGTGCCCAGAGAAGCTGTGGCTGCCCCATCCCTGGCAGTGTTCAAGGCCAGGTTGGACAGGGCTCCCCATGCACTCCTATTTCTAGAGGTCCCTCCTCATGCCCTGCTGTTCCCTTCTTCGTGCAGGCACTATCTCAAACCAGGGCTAGTGAAGGCCAGGTAGATGAGTGTGGGTAGGAGTTGGATTCTTGTCTATAGACGTGCACTGTGTACCAATACAGGAACTTTGACGTCGTTCAGGCGAGCATGCCCAGGCAGCAAACTCCACATTGATGTGCAAACAAGGAGACAGCCACATGAAGTGGAGGGAGCAGATGCTAATGAATGTTCTTTAGGCTTTAGGAAAAGATATTGCCCAATGCTGTGGAAAATTAAAACTTGTTTCTAATGTGTTTAGGAAATTCAATGCTAAAACTCAAAGATGAATGGGACGAGAGTTCAATCTGAGCCGACCCGGTTTTGTTGGAATGTCATTTGCTATGGTGTTTGCTCCCTTGCAGAAACCAGGAGACAACCTAATTACTTCTTGCACTCTGCACATAAATTATTGCTCCCAAACATTTAAAGGAGACAGGAAGGGATGCTGGGAAAGGTGCTAAAGGAACCGTTCTTCATCCACAGCGGGCTTGTGCATGATCAGAAATTGAAGGACTGGTGCTGTAATGGCACCAGTGATTGTCAGGAGGCCTCTCAGTGCATCCCAGCTTGTTGAGGTCACTCCTGCAAGATGGGGTGGCAATAGGATGACTGGGATTAAATTCACTTTGGAATGGAAAGATCTTGACTCAAGAGGATCTGAAGTGTAGAGGGGTTGGCTGGCCTTAGGGTTCCTTGAGATGGACCCGACCTCCAGCTTTTCACTTAACATATTGCCCCCACTGAACACACATACACAAAGATCCTCTTCTGCATTAAACTGAATGATCACATCCAGCTACCTGAAAAGCTGCCTTGCAAAAAATCCCTTGGCGAGCATAAAATGAAACCAGAGGACCCCTTCTCGCCTTCATTCTTAGAGGAAGAGATTCAGAAACAACATGATTTATGGGAATTCCTAAGAAGAAGATGAGAGTTTGAGCTTCATCTTCCTTAAATAGCCCTCTGTGAGGCTTACAAAAGCTTTTCCCACATGCTGAGCTTTCAGAGCCATGGGACAGGTTCCCCCCCAAGGCACTGATCTTGCACAGCTCAGTAAAATGCAGAGGGTGGCTAAATCTGAGCTCCAAATCGCATCACTGACACGGATGCACCGCGTCCAAAACAGCGTGTCCAGCACCGACCCACCACATCTGTCACACTGACCTTCACCCACCAGGTCACTTGTCAGCAGCTCCACATTCCCGGCTGGAGGATGGAAATGAGCCTGTTTGAGCCGACGGGAGCTCAGCAGAAACTCATCAGCAGAGGAGCAAAGTTTACAGCTCAGATGAAAGGCTTCAAAACTTGTCTCGGGGAGGTTGGGGGCCCTTCGTGCCCTGTTGATGGAATTCCATCACCTTGTAACTGTGACAGGTTATAATCAACCTGCCCGATTTGAATCTTGTCCATAGCTAGGAGTTTTAATTTGATATTCACCATTTGCTCCATCTGCATCATGAATGTGCCCTGCTAAAAGGAAAGCCTCCCTGACCTGCTTCCTCCAGGCAACGGGCTAACTTCCTCATGCAGCCAGCCAGCGATTGAGGTGTTTCAATGCTGCTACCCAAGAGACAGATGTTAAGGGCAAGTGGTTCATCAGAAAGGGTTTTTTACTCTTTGTTGGACTACCTAAGAGGAAAAGGCATTAAATAGCCAGGCTAATCACCTGTGTGACAGCACTCCACATTGTGAGTTTCATTTGGCTCCTGATGGAGATATTATCACTGTAGGACCTAAAAAAGGGTCAGTTGTGCTCTGTAAGCAGATCTGTGTCCTGAGAGATCCTTCAGCTGGAGCACAAAGGCCTCCAGCAAAAGAAGTAAGACTATTCAACCAGGAGGTGTGCTTCAAACACTTCATCAGGGTCACTGGGCAAAGGTAAGCCTTCTGTCTGGAAGCGAATTGTGTGAAACGAAGGTGTCACTCTTCTTGTTACCACTTCTCACCCCTGATTGCATGGCAAAAGGGACAGGAAAGCCTCAACACTCCATCATTGTAAGTGAAACATCTTATTCTGGTCAAAAGCCATTTTAGCACTAATAATTGCTTGCTTCTGTATGACTTTTTGGGAAGGGGGACACTTTAGGCCATGCTTGTGGGTTCTCCTCCACAATCATCATACATATTTTTAAGTAGCTACATGAGTCCAGGTCTACCGCATGAAAAGGCCAGTTGAATTTAGTAGTGCTTTGGTGCTATTTGTCTCCATTTAGACAGAGATCTCTGACCCCATTGAGGTGCAAGAGCAATAGGGAGGGCTTGGGAATGAAAGGAGCAACCACGGTCCAGCAGCCCGTGAGCTGGTGCTGGTTTGCTTTGTGCCCGTCGCTCGTGGTGTCCTGCTGAAAAGTGCCAGCTCTCTGGGATGCAGCTTTGCAGGTGATGGTCTGGAACTGTCTATCATCATTAGAGCACTTTGTTTTCAAAACCCAGCCTGACAGAAGTGTTTGGTTCTTGGGGGGGGGGTGTGAGGAGATGATCTAAGAGGACATCTCCCCAGGCCACCCCAGGGGCTTGGCGCATCCTTGCTCTTCCTTGGCACGGTGTGGTAAGATTGCACTCTATGCAAATGGCAATTAATAATTCAGCATTTCCCCCTCTCTGGGTGATGCCTGCTGGCCGTGGGAGGTGCATGGAGTGGGCAGGGACAGGCTGGATGTGTCAGGACACCACTGCATCCAGCGGAGAGAGTGGAGGAAAGACACCAGCGCAACCCTGCAGAGCTTTTATACTGGTATAATTACCTCTTCTGGGCATGTAGGGTATTTTTAGCCTGCTTGCCTAAGGAAATTAAGCTCATCTGATCATGTAATGAATGCATGTGCGTTTCTGCATGTTGATTCTGACCTTAATAATGTTTGAGCCTATTGGCACTTTCAAGCAGATTTGATGGGGGAGGAAAGCAGTGTCACATGAAAGTTGGTTTTTAGACATACTGTGAAAACAGTGGTCAGGTAGAGGAGAAAAAGCTCTATAAATGCTCCCAATCAGCATTCCTTGTCCGAATGCCAGGCCAGAGCGCGGGCTTCTACCTTATCAGACATCAAAGACTCCACGCCAGGGGAGAGAATATAGAAGAACCCATTCGAACGGCAGGAAAAGATTGGATCGGAGCTCGCAACCAAGCATGAAATGCAGATCTTAAGGAAACAGGGCTTTGTTATCCCTTGTGCTGATGGGACTGCATATTAACTGCTTATTAGTTGTAGGAGCACAAAGGCGAGCGTGGATTTGGTTGGAAGGTATAAAGTCATTCCTAGTCACACAGCGTGCTCCTCTTCCCCACATAAGAGCATTTATGTCAGCAGAGCTGTTTTCTGCACTCAGGGAGTTAATGCTGCTCCCACTTTGGGGCATAAACAGGGCTTAAAAGCCCTGAGTATTTCCCATGGAGATTTCTGGGCTGGGGTAAACCAAAACAGCTGTCAGATTTGGCTCTCTGCTGCACTTAAAGTGACAAGGATTAGGACCAGGGAAGGGAGTTCTCATGGCAAACCCTCTGCATTGCTCTTAGCAGAGACCGGGATAGAGCTGCGGTGCTTTCTGCAGCGTGGGGATCGGGGCTGAGGCTGCTGAGGTGGGGAAAGACCTCACCAGTGCAGCCCCAAACCCTGGGCATCAGCACTGCCCAGAGGGTAATGGGCTTTCTCCTTCTCTTACAGCTAAATGCAGTTTAGCAGATCCACTGGGGATTCAGGCTTTTGCTTGATTCAGGTTAAACGTGCCTGTGTGGCCAAGCCTTCTGAGGAGCCTGGCAGCAGCCACAGCTTGGCACGGGTGGCTCACAGGGACCAAGTGGTCAGAATTGGCCCGGATGTGTTTTGTTTACCCTCTTTCATGTACATGCTCCCAGCTAAGTGGTGAGCAAGGCACCAGCCAGCTGCATGCAATCGCTTCCAGCCTCCCCATGCTCTCATCCAGCCCCAGTTAAAGCTCCAGGCATCGCTCGAGACAACTGGGTTACAGAGCTGCCCCAAGCCCCCAAAGCAGCTGGGGTATGGGAAATGATGCTGCGCTCACAGCTCATCTGCCAGGCAAAGCCACCAGGGCTCAGAGGTGAAAACGCTGCCATAAATCCAGTGCCAGGAGGGGTTTCACAGGGAGATGCTCCCGATCCCAGCCTGGAAACAACGGCACCTCCATGGAAATAAGCCCCAGTGAAGGGCAGGGTTAATTTTCCCACGTCTCACCCCTCTCATGGCCCCATGATGATCCATGATACCTCTTCAGAGTGCCTTTAATTCATGGCCCTGTAAGTCTGTGGCAGCACAGCACTGCTCACCCCAGCAAAACAGCCAGAGATCCCATAAACACAGCTCTTCTCAACAGCTTGCCAGCTTATAGCAGCTGGAATCCAACTGATGCCAACACAATGGCTCTGAGATCATTAAAGCCTTCCTGGACAAAAGGACTGTATCTCAAGGGTCCATTTTGCCATAAACCAGCTGGGGGAACACAACAGGAAATCCTGAGGAATAATATACTCGTGAGGAAAACCCTGCTCTGCTAAACCGTGCTGTAGGGAATGAGGGCAGATGGTTGGCTTCATCCTCTATGGAGCTTTTAAACCAACACAGCCCAGGCCTGGGGCTTGGAGCTGTGATGTGTGAGATGGGCTCAATACCCATCACTGCAAGTGGCTTCCGGAAGAAAAAGCTTCTCCAGGTGCACAAGACTCTGGAATCATCCTGAATTACCTATAACTGGGCGATATTGGTTGTCCCACACCAACCTAGCAGTCAGCATGAGAATGGGAGCAGAAGTGGCGGCTGTCTTGTAGGACCTGCTAGAGCTACTACTCAGAGGGAGGCACAGGATGCTGTGGATGCAATAGCATCACTTTCCAAGATGAAATGGGGAGTGCATTTCAGCCTATTGGGGTCTTGGAGGGGCTGGGACAGGACCAAGGTGCTCAGTAGTTAAGTTGCGTCGAATCAATGATAGTAACAAACCAAGGGAGAGGAAGTCCCACATTTTGACATCGATCCAACGTGTAGTTCTTCGCCCCTCCAGAGTTTTGCTCCTATTTGGGTTAATAATCAGCTTTGAGATGCTGTTTTCTTTGTTCTCCTCAAGAAGCTCGGATTCTCACTGACAGATGCCATTGTGAAATGCAATGTGAAAAATTCACTTGGAAGATACAAAACAAATGTAATTTTTGGAGCTTGTCCAGCATTTTCAGCTGCCAAAGCAGTTGAATCCATCCTGATCTGAATTCAATGAGGAGTTTCCATCCCTAAGGGCTAGTCTGGGGAGAGGCTTTTTGTAAGTAAATTGCAAATTGCTGCCTACTGCACCTCCCCTGCCCTGCTGAAGAACTCAATGTGAAAACCTCTGGAATTGGGAAAGATTTTAGTTAAGGCGCAGTGAAAGAAGGGACTTGGTCTTTGGTCCAGCTTTTATGGTGTCCTTAAGTCAAATGGGCAATTCCCACTGCTGATTTAGGTCCATCTACATCGTCCCTTTCTATGGCCCAACTTACACACCTCTCTGAGGAGACCCCCCCCATCCAGTGTTGTGTCCATCTCGGGCACCAACACAAGAAGAACGTGGACCTGTCGGAGCAAGTCCAGGGGAGACCTTCCAATACCTAAAGGGGCTACAGGAAACCTGGAGAGGGCCTTTGGACAAGGGCCTGTAGGGACAGGACAAGGGAAGCTGTGGCTGCCCCATCCCTGGCACTGTTCAGAGCCAGGTTGGACACAGGGCTTGGAGCAAGCTGCTCTAGTGGAAGGGGTCCCTGCCCGTGGCAGGGGTTGGAGCTGGAGGAGCTTTAAGGTCCCTTCCAACCCAAACCAGGCTGGGATTCTATGATCCTACGCCTTTAGGATGGGAGAAATCCTCTCTCTGAAGGTGCTGATCCCTGTTGAGCCCGGTCGCTGTCTATATTGCAGACCAACCCAGCCCTTCAGATTCCCTGAACCATGGGGATATGCAGCAGCTCCATACTGGAAATCCAGCTGCCCTTGCACTATGCCCCAGACACCACCACACCGCAGCGGGTCAAGGTGTTTCTTACCGGCTCGTTCCACCGGTGCTCACTGCGTGAAGGACCTGGCTGCTTCCTTCCACAGCTCCAAGGAGTAAATTAAACGACACGATGAAACACAGTGCATTTGCAGCTGGCTCAAAGGGAAGAGAACAGCATTAGGCAGCCCTGGTGCTCATTAAACGCCTCTGACTAGAAGGATGTAATGAACCAGTTTTATTGTAACAGTAATTTCTTCCCATCGCATTTGGTTATGTATTCATGGGGGATGCAGGGAAGGGAAGGAGATCACTACAGACTAGCGCATGGAGATATATTGTGTGTGGGAACGATGACACCAGAGTGTGTGGCTGGCAGATAGGAGAGAGGCGAGGCAGAGAGCAGAGTATCCCCAAGTCCATTATAACGCCATCAAGCTGACCTTTAAAATAATATATATATGAGTAATAAAAAGGGGACCCTCTGTTCTTGGCTTCTGAAACATGAGCAGCTCTGGAGCTGGTTTAATGACCACGATAGCCAAGCTACCATACACCTCAGGTGTCCCAGGCTAACTGGGGATGTAGCTTTGTGTCCATCAGCTGCTGGGACCTCATGGGCAGAGCTGGTAATGTAGGACCTGGAGCCAAAAGAGGGTAGGAAGAGAGAAATCTATGAAGAAACAGCCTGAAAAGGAGCCCTGAAGTTCTCATTGGATTTCTCCACCTTTCAGCCTGGTTGTAACCAAGGTAAGTTTTCTAAAGCTGTCCAAAGAGATAATCCATGATTAACAGCCATTTTAATAAATGGCTAATCAATTTATATGGGTTGCTATAGAGTCCAATACATCAAACCCAGGTTGATTATAACCATGGCTTATTGCCATCTTATAATACCTTCCACTGATGTGCTTATAATAATCTGTACCATCCGCTGCTGCTGTCGGTAACTCATCTCAAACACCACTTGTGTTTCTCCTCAACCTGCTAAAAGCACAGGGGCAGAAAATGTCCCTTTATATCTGTAAATCACGTGCCCTCCCCTGGTTGCAAATCTGAAAGCTGCACCTCCCGTATGGAGCCAGGCTGAGAACATTGAGGCTGTTCAGCCTGGAGGAGAGAAGCTGCGTGGAGACCTCAGAGCAGCTTCCAGTGTCTGAAGTGGGCTATGAGGATGCTGGAGAGGGGCTCTTC